AAATGAAAAATAATTGTTTTGTCCAATAGTTTTTCATTGAAAATGTTATTTATAAATTAACATATAGTAAATTCATTGCTTTTAAATAAAATAATAAATATTTTAATTAATTTATTTTAATTTCTAATACAATCAATAGCAATTTACTCTAACCCACATAAGTAAATGTTCTTTGGGGTCCTCAATAATTTTTAAGAGTCTCTGAGGCCAGAAAATTTGAGAAGTGCTATACTACCCCATAATGTCCCCTTTGGAAAGGAAATCCTGCCATGCTAGCTGGCCAGTGTCATTTGGATCAGATTGCCTATTCCAAGTGATCCTTCATCTCTTGCTGCTCTCTCTTGGTAAGAACTGAGAACTTGGCCCCTGAAAACCTCGGTTGCCCTCCTGCCTGCCTCCCTTCCAGCCCCTCATCAGGCTTACACGCTGCACTGATCTGTTCAGGCAACTCTCCTCCCTCAGATCAAATGGGATAATATCTATGAAGTGCTTTGCACAGTGCCTGGCACATAGTAGGTGATTTAAAATGGTTTGTTCCTCTCCCCCCTTGGCACCTCTGCTTTCCATACAGTCAAGGAGATGAGAAGCTGTCAAGGGTGTGGGGAGGGTAGGAGATTGTTTATTTGCTAAAGGCTTTGTCTCTGAGGCAAGCCCTTGTATTCAGCTCTGGGATTATTTACACCAAAAAGCTTCTTTACACCCGCAGCCCCACACAGGTCGGTAATAAGGGAAAATGCACCTGCCCTCAGCCAAACCTGTTCCCTCTCTCCATTCAGTCACCCAGAGTTCAGTCACCCTGACTCACCCAGTTGGAGACCTGAAGCCAGCTTAACTCTTAGGGTGAATGCACGGGGAAGTAGGTGTCAGCAGTTCAGTAAGGGGGAAGCATGAAAGTGAGGGTCAGGAGGTGGCAGCACCCTCACACAGGAACCGCAGGCCCTGGGAGATCGGGGAGGACCCAAAGACACTATTAGGCAACTTTGGTCTGAGTTATTATGTACCGGACAATGAATGCAAGCTGATATTGCTTGCTGAAAAAATATAGAGAGAAGCAATATTTATATAAAATATGTATTTATATAAATTTTCATTTATATAAAATATATTTATACAAAATATAAGTTTGTGTTTTATATATTTATATAAAATATAGGTTTAGATTTTAGATTTATATAATATATGTATTTATAGTTTCTATTTCTACAAAGCATATTTTTACATTTTATATCACATATTTATATAAAATATGTTTTATATATTTATATAAACCATATTTCTATAGTTTATATTTATATTTTATAAATATATTCTATTGCTATATTTATTAAATATATTTTTACGTAGGGTAACATATGTATGTTATATAAAAACCTCTTTGAATGCAGCACCAAGGGCTCCAAAGTACCATTTAGATGTTCCCGTCTCATCTCTTTCTCTCCACTACTTCCCTGGAGGTTCTCTCTTGAAGTGTATGGACAATGAACTGAAGTGGGTTCCTTACACAGGTCCCATCAGGGCCCAAACAGCCCTGTGGTACTTGGGATGATAACCAGCCTTAAATGAGGAGGAAACATTCCAATCTTATATTCTTATACCTCTCAATCAATTACCTATGTTCAATGAGTAGATCTGGAAGCAGAGCTAACAGACAACAATTTGTTCCCCATTAATCACTATTCTGGGAGCCACAAAAGTCAGGAAGCATCAAGGATGAAAGTTTGAAGCCATCTTCAGAGAGCTAACACACTAGCACTCCAATGTGGACACAGTTTGGGAGGACCACAGCAACCCCCATCTCTGGCCCATCTTCACACAGATGGAAAGAATGTTCTCCAACCGTTCTCTTTTGGACATGGCAGTCTTATACCTTCTTTTTCTTCTTTTCCCGTCTCTACGTGGGTTACCTGGGTTACCACATAATCATTCATTTGGAGAGGCATTTGCTGTCAGATGTAGGAATTGAAAAGGGGAAAACAAAATGATCAAGTCTCCTCAAAATCATATAGAAAACCTTAATTCTAGTTGTTGCAGTGAATGGCCCTAATTTAGGGTGATAAAAGAGCCTTACCTCAACTTAGAATATTTGATAATAATAATAATAATAGGTTCATAGACTTAGAGGTAGAACAGACCTTAGCCACCATATAGCCCAAATCTTTCCGACAGATAAGGAAACTGAAGCTGAGAGAAGTTAATTGCCCAAAGTCACATAGGCAGCAAGTAGCAAAACTAGCATTTGAACCCAGATCCTCTGACTACAAATTGAATATACTTCCTATTGACTAACACTTTATGCCAATAACTAATGTTTCTATATATTTCTATACACTTCTAAAAGTTCAGAGAAGGGAGGACACAGCCAACAGGCGATCCAGCTGAACTCTCCCAACATTCCCCTCCAAACAACTTTAAAATAAAAATCAATCAAAAACCTCAAATCAAATTTTGGAGTGGCAAGCCAACAAAAAAAAAAGTGTGAGACTTTTTCCAACCTAAGAAAAGCTAGGAATAGTTTGTAATGTCTAGGTAAACACCTGTCTGGAGCCCACACAGTTGAGGCAGCAACAGCAGCTTCAGGAGTTCTCAGCCCAGAGATGGTAAGGTGTTCAGACAACTGGTCAGAAAGAGATTATAGAGGACCCTTTGCTGGCACTGGGTACAGCTAGGATTGATTGGCAACTCTATCACCCAAACATAGTTCTGGGTCACAATCCCAGAGCAGAGAGGAGCACTGGGGGTCAGTCACAAGGGACTAGGGACCCTGGCTGAGGAGTTCTAGTGCCTCTGGCTACAGGAGACCGAGGGATATCATTTTTACCCGTATGTGCTTTACGGCATATAAAGGGAAGTAATGTACAAGAACACCAAAAGAGTAGATTTCAAGAAGTCTCAGAGATTTTATTTATACTATTTAATTCTATTTGTGCTATTTCACTGGAGTTTATTGGGTAAGGGAGTGATGTTGTCGTACCTGGGCTTTAGGAAAAATCACTTTAGTACTTACATGGAAGATGGATTGGAATAGAGAGAGATTTGAGGAAGGGAGGCCAATTAGAAGGCTATTCTATTTGTCCAAGTAAGAATTGACAAGGCCTGAACTAGGATGTTGGCTGTGTAGGGGACAGATGAGAGATTTGGTGGATGAAGGAACAAGATTGAGTAACTTAATTGGGTGTGTGGAGTGAATGGAAAGTAGGGAGTTGTGGATGCCACCAAAGTTGTGACCATGGGTGATTAGAGATATGGTTAGTATGCTGGACAGAATTAGGGGATTTCAGAAGAGAAGTGGAGTTAAAGGGAAAGATAACAAGGGGTTTTTGTTGTTGTGATGTTCAGTCTGAGATGCTTACAGGATATCTAGTTGGAGACATCCGATAGGACTAGAACCAAGGAGACAGATTAGGGCTTATTATTGAGATGTGGGAGTTATCTGAATAGTTAATTAAATTCATGAGAGCTGAAAAGATTACTAAGTGAGGGAGTCTAGAGAAAGAAGAAAAGGGGCTCCGGGACAGTCACTGTCCAAGGTCAACGTCTGCCATGCTTGAGCTAAATATGAGAAACTTCTTCTTATTGGCCTTCCCCTTTCTCTTCCTCCTCGGATAACATCCATCTGCATAGAATCATAGCACCCAAGGTCTGGAACTGGAAGGGACCTCAGAGGCCATCTTAAAAAAATTGCTTTAGGGGCCATTAGGTGGCACTAAGATAGAGCGCCGGCCTTAGAGTCAGGAGGACCTGAGTTCAAATCCGGCCTCAGACACTTGACACTAGCTGTGTGACCCTGAGCAAGTCACTTAACCCCAACTGCCCCACCAAAATGCAAAACAAAAAAAGCCTCATTTACTTGGCAGCTCAGGAAAGTGAGACTCAAGGAGTTAAAAGATTTTCCCCAAATGACACAGATTGTAACACCAGAGGTGAAATTGGAACCCATTATCTTTTCACTGTGCTATGTTGTACCTGAATCTAAGGCCACTGAGGGTGTCAAATGTGGACCAAGGCCAAACTGCCTTAAAAAAAAAAGTCACATGTACACTAGCTAATTAACACTTCTAAACTCTCGGTGATCAAAAACTGACTCTTTGTTAATAAGCTGCTTCAAATGAGGCCTATCTATATAGAAGCAAAAATGCTCCAGCCTCAGATTTCATCACCCCCAAACATTTGTCCTGGGGCCCTCGCAGGGATCATGGCTCTGGTATCAGCATACTGACAGTTGGCATAGAACCAGGAAGGATGAGTGCAGAGAAACATGCCCTTCAGTAAAAACTGCCACGACATACACGCATTGGACTCCAGGTTTTGCTTTCACCCTTAGATTGACATGGTAGTCATTTACCAGATATGTGCTGGTAAATGTTTAACAAGCTACTCTCTCTTTACAAAAAAATAAACAAAACACAATGCAGTTTAATCTGCGTGATTAACATTCTCCCCATCCCTTTCCTAAATCTAGACAATCAACAATACAATAAAACAAGCCCTCATTTATAGTGTTTTGCCTATTTCTAAGGTGTAAGTGTAAAATTGAAAATTTAACAATTGGCTCTCAAGCCAGTTTGAGCTGCCCCCAGCACACCCCTACACAATAACTAGTGATTTAGAGAGCATTGGCAGCTAAAATTGGATAGGTGAGAGATAATGACCTTAACCTGTGGAATTAGCCCCTCAAACTTAAGACACAGGACAGATACCAAAAACCCCACCTGGGGCAAATGGCAGGAAATCTGTTCTTCAGCAGGGGGACAGGCTGCTGATTCGAGGGGGGAGGCAGGGGAGGAGAACACACCAGCCCACCACTTCTTATTTTAATTTTTCTACCTGTTGAAAACTACACGTGCACTCAATCTCCTCCACCTTCAATGCCCTTGGTCAAAGGCCCAGTCACCTCCACTCTGATTACATCTCCGTTACCAGAGAGTTAGTTGACTTGACTCAAGCTTGGGTCCACGGATAAGATAGACTCAAGAGACAATGAGAGATATGGTTGCTGTTTATTGAGATACATCATAAGCAATATAAAGGAGGGAGGGGAAGAATGATCAGAGGAATGGTCTGGAAGACACTCAGGTTTGGTTCTGTTTGGGGTGGGGGCAGAACAGGGTAAGATGGCTTCCCCCTCTCCTTACACCTGCTTCATCAGTATGTGTAACAAAGAACTCAGCATTCACAGGCAGTAGAGACTGGGGTAAACTGAGGCTGCCTTGGGAATTCAGCAAAAGCTAATCATTGAATCTAGTGCTGGAAGGGACTTCAGAAAACATCCAATTCAACCCCTTCATTTTACAAAATAGAAAACTGAGGAAGCCCAGAGAAACTTGGACATCCTGCCCAGAGAAACTTGGGCATCCTGCCCAAGGTCACACAGCAACACCGAGATTCAAACCCAAGTCTTCTGAATCCAAATCCCATGGCCTTTCCACTACACCAGGTAGCCCAATTCAACTTTCTCGTTCTACCTGATAGCCTCAATGCCTGTTCTGTTAGCTGTGCTTAAACTCTAGAAAGCCAATCAATATAATATGCACGTGATACAACATGCCAACATATGTAAATGTGAATTTCCAGGTTATTTTGGGTTCTGGAATGGGGAGCTCTGTAAAGGTCTGAGTGGGTGGATATGAGGGAAAGAAGAAGGGTCGGGAGTTGGGAAAGGAAAGCTCTCAAGGAACCGGAATGGCCGACACCAGCTTGACACATCACAGGATGGTTAAAATCGCCGGCTGGACGACTTGACCGTGGTACTTGTGCTCTTCTTCAAAATGGAGGTTCCCCCAGAGCTAGGCCCTCCCTTGACATAACCACAGGAAGAGCCATAGCTCCCCTTCACCCCTCCACCACCGCTGCCCAAGGACAACCCACCCCCGAAGCTGCCACCACCGACCACCTGGTTGCCTCCACCACACATAGTGGTCGAACTGCCCGTCATAGCTGCAATGGAAAGAAGAAGAATTAGGAAGTGTAGGCCAGGGAGGTTACTGAAGAAATCATACTAGGTGAGAAGGGGAAGTGTATCTCACAGACACCAACTGGAGAACTCAGGCGAAATCAGGCAGTGAACTAAATAGAAACTGGGCAGAGTTTGATAAGGAAATTCCCTCTCTCTCTAGAATAGCATGTACACTTCCACCAGTCACATCTCAGAAGGGACGCTGATAAACTGGAAGAAGCCCATAGGGTGGTGTCCATCACAGTGAGAGGTCTTGAGACCATGTCTGTCTTACAAGGAATGGTTCAAAGAATCAGAGGGGTTTAGCTTGGAGAAAAGAAAACTTAAGGACACAACAGCTGCCTTCAAGTATTTAGAGGGTTGTCCCAAGAAAGGGGAATTCAACTTGCACTTTTAGATTCTGCAGGCCCAGTAGGCAGAGGTTGCAAGAGGCCAGATTCACGTTTAATATAAGGAAAAACTTCCTAACAAAGATCGATATCCATGAATGAAATGGCCTGCCTCAGGAAGTAGGGAGCTCTCCATCACTGTAGGTCTTCAAGCAGAGGCTGGTGGGCTATTAGGTAACATCTTAGACAGGATTAGTGATTCAGGTAGGATTTGGACTAGATGAAATGTGTGGTGCCCCACCCACCTTAAGATTCCACAATCCGCAGTTGCAGTTTTCAAGGGGCTCTATAGGAGGAAGGGAAAACCTGAGAGGGTGTATTACAGATGCTAATCTTTTTTGGAGGTGGTGGGGAGGGGCAGAGCTGAAGGGGAACAGTCTTGGGGAAGGTGACATAGTTCACAGTCCAGGGAAGACCTAAGCAAATGGGCAAGATCTGTAGGTGTCTGGATTCTGCTTATAGCACTGCTCTATTTCCCTCAAAGAGGGACGGGAGTGGGATCGAGGACAGTTTGTGGAGGATACTTACAAATGCTAATAGCGTTGGGACACTCTCCAGACATTCTGTAGAAGAAAAGATGAGAGAAGGCTTAGCAGGTACAACAGCTGCCAGCTTAAAGATCCAAAAGAAAAATCCTCCCCTTTCCCCCATTCTCTAGAAGCTCTCTGCCCAGTGACCAGACCTTTCTATTCTCCAGGCCAATAGAGGAGCAATGGTACTCAGTAGACAAGCCACCATATTGATTGCCTATAGGTTGATATTATACAAAATGGCAAAAAGTCTAAGAATCCCTTCTCTTTGGCTTTGGTTTATACTTTTGTCCTCTTGTGGAACAAAAAAAAAAAATATGCTCTTGGAAGATATGATGTTCTGGGAATTAACAAGTCCTTCCACCAAAGTAATGAAGCCATTTGGGGGTGGGGTGGAGGAATTCAGGAAGATCTAGGAAACTGTTCAGATTCTCTATTCCATAGTTCTCGTCTCCCAATCTCCAAGGTAGGAGTTGAAGGCATCACCTCTCAGTGTGATTCAATGGAAAGACTGGTTCTGAAGTGAAAAGACCTATGTTCAAATCCTACCTCTAACATTTATTACCTATGTGACTTTGGACAAGTCACTAGCCACTTAACTGGGACTCAATTTCTCCCCCTAGAAGGGGGCTAGGTGGCATTGTAGATAGAGTGCTGGACCTGGAGTTAAGAAGACCTGAGTTCAAATCAGGTCTCAGACACTTACTAGCTGTGTGACCCTGGGCAAGTCACTTAGCCTCTGCCTCAGGTCCTCATCTGTAAAATGGAGAGAATAATAGTGCCTACTTCCCATGTGTGAGGATCAGATGAGATAATTGGCACATAGTAGGCGCTAGACAAATGCTTTTTTCCTGCTCCTACTCTGTAAAATCACGGGGTTGGGCCTCTGAGTTCCCATCCAGCTCTGCTTCCATAACTAAGAACAAGGATGAGGTGAATACTGAGCAGTCAGGACAGAGCTGCCTTCTTGCTGGCTTTTACACAGTGCTTAGCACATAATAGCCACTTAATAAATGCTCATTGCCTGACCAACTGACTACCTATCTGGGTGGAGATTTCTAGAGAAATAGGGGAGGGGATCATTTTGGTTGCAAACCCTTTTGTGGGCAGTAGAGCCTACGTGTTGGAAGGGGATCTCAAAGGGATGCCTGTTGAGAACCAGCCAGAGATTTAAGTCAACAGAGGAGCTAATCAAATCAGCCAAGGAATTAAGTAAACAGGAGAAAGGAAAATGTCAACAGATCCATGATCAACCTTGGTAATTATCTCCTGAATGAGTCAGAGTTAGCCTGATGCTTCAGTCATTCAAGGAGCTGTGATGTCTTCCTCTGGTGTGCACTTTAAATGCAGGTCACAGCCTCTGGAAGCCTCAGTTAAATGAGTTGCCATGGCCAAAAACAACCTTTCCTTGGTGGCCCTCTTTCTGAGGACAAAGCCTCTGTCGGTTTAGCTCCACTGGTTTTCTCATGACCAACATATTCATTCTAACACTTGGCCCATTTCCCAAACCTCCCCAGCTTGGTAGAAATTAACAAGGGCACATTTCATTAGTCTTTAGGAAGCCGGGGTTGTCAAAATGAGGCACCAAAGGAAGGCTTCAGCTGCAAGCAGAGTTGGCCAATCATCAATCAGTAAGCATGTATTTAGATGCACCTAGCTGCCACATTTTATATTAAATGCCTACTCTATACTAGGCACAGGCTAGGAACTGGGGATATAAGTTCAAAGAATGAAACAACACATTCACCCAATGAGGATAAGGGTGGTCACTTTCATTTTCTTTTGGGAAGGCCGGGGGAGTCAACCGGGATTAAGTGACTTGCCCAGGGTCACGGAAGCTGAGAAATATCTGAGGTCAGACTGGAACTCAGGTCTTCCCAACTCCAGGACAGGGTGTTCTATCCACTGTGCCACCTAGCTGTCCCTGTCACTTTCATTTTCTCTCTTTCTTTTTTTTTAAGCCCCACTTCTTAGCACAGTATAAAATGAGCCAGCCATTCTAAATCATACCCCATCCCAGACATCCCACTTAACCATGCATGAGAATATTTAAATGAGTCAATCACTATCGAAGAAATGCTGGGAGTCCCTGTGTTTGAGTGTTACTCCTTGACCTCCTTCCCCCAGCCCACATCTCACAGGGTCTCAGTGTTCCCTGGGCACCACTTAATAGACCCAACTCAGAAAGAGCTGGAAATCTCACCACTTTCTGCCCTGCTACTGAGGCTCAGAGAAGTGAGTGACTCCCTCAGGGTCATACTACTTTCCCTCAGTTGGATTCAGAAAACTAAGGGCTTTGAAATCCTGACCCTATCATGGGACCAGCCACAACATTACAAAACTTAACATAAAATCTCATGTCATGTTTTGGGTTTGTTTTGTTCGGGGAGGGGGGAGGTAAAAACTAGCTTCATTGGCACTTACAATAGCTGGAAGATAAATAAATCTGAAAAAATATAGTGTATGCCAAACAATATTTAGCTCCACATTTCCCAAATCAGATCTGAACTCTGTTACAAAAATAACTATCAAGAGCTTCAATTATATTCTATATACTCAATTATTTCATATATTATATAATCAATTATTGTACATATTATATATAATACATATTCAATTATTTCATATATTATATATAATACATATTCAATTGTCGCACATAGTATATAATACATATTTAATTATTTCATATAGTACATATAACACATATTCAACTATTTCACATATTATATATAATACATATTTAATTATTTCATATATTATATATAATACATATTCAATTGTTGCACATAGTATATAATACATATTTAATTATTTCATATAGTATATATAACACATATTCAACTATTTTACATATAATATATAATACATATTCAATTATTTCATATATTGTGTATTCCATTATTATATATAATACATACTCAATTATTTCATATATTGTGTATTCCATTATTATATATAATATATACTCAATTATTTCATATATTATATATTCCATTATTATATATAATACATATTCAATTATTTCACATATTACATATTCAATTATTTCCTATATTATATATTACATACATGCCCTATTTCACCCTCCCGCCATCCTTGCCAGCCTGCTTACCTGCCCTCCTCACTCTCCAGCAGCTTCTTGTAGGTAGCGATCTCCATATCCAAGGCCAGCTTGATGCTCATCAGCTCCTGGTAGTCTCGCAGAAGCTTGGTCAGTTCCTCTTTGCTGTGATGGAGGGCCTTTTCCAGGTCTCCCAACTTCTTCTGCGCATCTTTAACAGCCATCTCCCCTCGCTGCTCCGAGTCAGCGATAGCTGCCTGCAGCTGTTCACACTGGGGGGGGGGGGGAGGTATGAAGAACACTTTCCAATATCATCCTCTATATTCTCACCTCCAGACCCAACCCAAAATGACCAGGAAAAGGAAAAAGAGAAACATTCTCCTGTGAAAAGGAGACACAGCAATGCTGTGAGGTTGGTAATGCAAGTATTATTATTCTCAACTTACAAATAGGGGACTCAAAAAAGGATTTGCCCAGAGTCACACAGGTGTAGGAGCTGAGACTTGAACACAGGCCTCGTGATTCTAAGGTCACTTAGAGTTTTCACCTTTCCCTTAAGAGCAAGGGCCTAAACACCTGCGTATTCTGAACCAGGGTGTCCCAAAATGTAATGGTGTGTCTCACGTGATAGTGAGCTCCCACCACTACAGGTATTCGAGCAAAGGCTGACTGATCACTTATGGAGTGGCATAGACTTGCCTCCTCCAGAGGGACCCAACTTTTTTTAAAGAACTCACTACTTGCCCACCCCTCAGTGTGCTCTTTTCCAAACTAAATAACCCTAAGGTTCATATTACAGACCCAGGGTATTTTACAAGTATAGTTAGCAACCTAATAGTAGAATAGCAGGTGTTAGACCATGACTTTCCTCATAAAGATGTCCCCAGCTACTGTGGATGGCAATGGGCATAACCCCGAGACCACTCCTCCCCCAACCTCCTGACTGAGGTCATCCGCACCTGCTTCTTTACTGAGTCAATCTCCCCCTGAAGTCTCTGCACAACTCGGGTGAGCTCGGCGATCTCATTCTTAGTGTCCCGGAGACAGTCCCCATGCTTCCCAGCTGTCACCTGGAGCTCTTCATACTGGTGGTCAAAGAGAGTTACGTAGACAACAGACCCAGCCCACAATGCCCAGAAGAAACCCAAGTGGCCAAAAGGACCCACCCTGTCTGTCTTGTGGGCCTTCCTCAAACTAGTCTCTCTTTTTGATCATTTTCACCAGGAAATCTATGTGCCATGTAAAGGTGGAAAATAGTATAGTCCCTGCCTTCAAAAAATTTACAAGTGTCCAGCCACCCTGAATGGGGCTTTCGTTTCCAGTCAAGCCTTTAGTATTGGGAGTCAGGCTTAGGCTTGCCCCTTCCCTTGAGTCAACAACTTGCACTCACTCACCTTGGTCTGGTACCAGGATTCTGCCTCTGCACGGCTCCTCCTGGCAATCTCCTCATACTGGCTTTTGAGCTCAGCAATGATGCTGTCCAGATCCAGGCATCGATTGTTATCCATAGACAGGACAACGTTGGTATTAGAAGTGTGGGTGTGGCTCCCTTCCCGCTCCTACAGGAACAAAAAAAGCTATAGATTCTGTTTGGATTCCTCCAACCTCCCCACCTTTCTCTCCTCAGGAAGTAACATCAAAATGGGCAGCTGGAGACCTGTGTTCTTCTAGGGTCATAGCTTCTAGAAATGGGATGACTCTCATTTTACAGATGAGGAAAACAAGTCCTGGAGGGGTGGCGTGATTTACTTAGTATCATAAAGCTAGTCATCAGCAGAGCCCAGGTCTTCTTGTTCCAAAACTAATGTCTAAGATTTGGAGACAGAGGACCTTGGTTCAAATCCTAACTCATCTACTTATTAACTATAATCTTGGGTAAGTCATTTAAACTTATTGGGCCTCAGTTTGTTCATCTAAAAAATGAGGGGGTAGGACCAAATCTTCCAGATCTCAATCTATAATCTCTGTTCTCACACTTTATTCTATCAGTTGTTAATTACCTGTCCACACACGTTTTATCTCCCCAAGTCATCTTTAGACTCCCTGAAAGCTTGAAATACTTCTTACCCTTCCTCATATCTGGATTACTAATAATTATTATTAATAAATCCCAATTACTGAAAGAACTAAAAGTCTAAAATTCATTGAGAATGACTAATTATGTGATCCTATAGCTAGTCAGTGACTTTTGGGAATATAAAGTAAAGAAGAAAGAAAGGACTAGAGACAGGTAAATGTCTCAGCCCTCAAAGGGAGAAAAATCAATCCTGAAAACCCTAGACTCACAACTGCAATGTCATTGCTTTGAAAAATTCTAGAACAAACTATTGAGGCTGATGATTTGTGAAAACTTGGAAATGGAAGTGATAGTCAAGGGAAACCAGGTAGAGTTCACTAAGAAAAAAAGTTATGCCTGATGCATTCTAAAGGGGGAGGAACTAGTAAAACAATTAATGCAATAACAACCACCCTCTAAATACCGGATGACTCATAATTCCAGCCAACTGGTGATGAAGCATGCTACCCACCTCCTGCCTGAGAGGTGACAGGCTAAATATGCAAAATGAGGCAGACCGATTTTGGACATGGCCAAAGTTAGAATCTGTTTTGCTTGATTATAGATGCATATTAGTTACAAGGATTAGTTGGGGTTTTTTTTTTCCCTCCCAGTGAAAGGGGGCGGGTGAGGGCATAAAAAAAATGCTTATTAATTGAAAACAATTTTTTAAATGTTTAAGTCATGCCAAAATAACCTCTTTTTTTTTTGCTAGGATTACAAGACTGGTAAATCAGCAGAATGTCAGAAACATATTTTATCATGATTTCAGCAAGTCATACAACAGTTTTTTGTGTTATCTTTGTAGATAAGTCAGAGAAGCATGGACTATTATGCTAAGAGTTAAGTAGATGAAGAGCTCTACTCAGAAAGTACTGATCAATGCCAACCTAGAAGAAAATCTATAATAATGTGTCACAAGGTTCTCTTTTGGACCTTGTCCTTTTTCATGTTTTTTTTAAACAGATTTGGATTGAAAAGATAGTTGCCAAGCTTCTGAAGTGTGTGGTTGACACAAAGAGGGGAAGGACATGGGCAGATCTGCCAAACAAGGGGGAAAGGATAATCCCTAAATAAGACAAAATCAGTACTGGGGGCAAAAAGTCTCGATAGGATTAGTACACCAGTCACAATCAGTGAGATTAAAATTCAACAAGGATAAATGGGAAGTCCTTCATTTTAGATTCCAGTATTTCATGCGAAAAAGACCTGTGAAGTCAACCACAAGCTCATATGAGCCAATACAGCTGTTGAAGAAAGAGAGACATACTGGGTCGGGTTGGGGAAGTGGGGGAAGGGAGGGAAGGAGAGAGGAGAGGGAAAGAGGGGGGGAGAGAGAGAGAGAGAGAGAGAGAGAGAGAGAGAAAAGAGAAGAAGAAGAAGAAGAAGAAGAAGAAGAAGAAGAAGAAGAAGAAAAAGAAAGAAAGAAAGAAAGAAAGAAAGAAAGAAAGAAAGAAAGAAAGAAAGAAAGAAAGAAAGAAAGAAAGAAAGAAAGAAAAGAGGAGGAGGAAGAAGGAAGGGAAGAGAAAAGAAGAGAGAAGGAAGGAAAGGATGGGAGAGGGAAAAAGAGGGGAGAGAGAAAGAGAGGAGTAGAGAGAGAGAGGAAGAGAGGAATGGAGAGGAAGAGATACAGAGAAGGAAAGAAAGAGAGAGAAAGAGGGAGAGAGAGCTAATGCAATCCTGGGTTTCACTGAAAGAAATCATCCAGGTCAAAGGATTAGATGGTTGCACTATGCTGCCTACTGGTCAGTGCCACACTGAGAGAAATTGACAAATTTCAATGCATCCAGGAGGCTTACGATGAGGATAGTAAGAAGAATGGAAGCCATGTAGTAGGAGAAAAGGCTTTATGTTCTGGGTTCAACCTTCAGTTTATCCCGAAGAATAAAAGATTTGGGAATGACACTATAACTCTCTACAAATATTTGAAAAGTCATCTGGAAGAACAATCAGATTTAGTACATATAGCTCCAGAGGGCAAAACTAAGACCAAGAGATGAAAGCTATTGGGAGACAAGTTTTAGCTCACTATGAAGAAGAACTTGTCTAACAACTACAGTGGGCTAGCAATGGACCATGAAATGCAGTACGGTGGTTGTGGAATCAGTAGACCTTGAATAACAGCTCTGACCCTTTCTACCTGTGTGGCCTTGGGCAAGTTATTTAAAATCTCTAGGACTCAGTTTCCTCACCTTAATCCAATGATCTCTAAGGTCCCTTCCAGCTCTAAATTAGTGGTCTTGTGATCTCCATGACTAAAAGAGTTGAAGCAAAATTTAGATGACCAAAAAAGGGAAAAGGATCTATTTGTACAAAAATATTTACAACAGCTCTTTTTGCAATGGCAAGGAATTGAACATTGAGGGGATGCCCATCACTTGGGGAATGGCTGAAGAAGCTGTCATATATGATAGCAATGGAATATTACTGTGCTATAAGGAATGATGAGCAAGATGTTTTAAAAACAAAAACAAAACCTGGAAAGACTTATATGAACTGATGCAAGGTGAAGTGAGCAGAAGCAGAACAGTGTAGATAGAAATAGCAATATTCTATGATGATCAACTGTGAATGACTTAGCTATCCTCAGCATTACAATGATCCAAGACAATTCCAAAGGAGTCATGATGAAAAATGCTCTCCTCCTCCAGAGAAAGAACTGATGGAGTCTAACTGCAGATCGAAACATACTATTTTTCACTATCTTTGGTGTTTTATTGTGTGTAGGCAGGGGTTCGGGGGGGGGTCTGTGTTTTCCTTCACAATGTGATTAATATGGAAATACATTTTGCATGATTATACATGTATAACCTACATCAAATTGCTTAAATTATCAGGGAAGGAGAGAATTTAGAACCCAAATTTTTTAAGATTTGGGAAAAAATTAAATGTTATTTTTTTTAAAGTTTAGATGACCACCTAGAGAATTCCTACATCTAGTTGAGAAGGGGGTGGAGTGTGTATGGATTCCATGACCATTAAGGTCCCTTTCAATCCTTTAGAGTCCATGATTCTATGACTGGACTCATGTCTCATGTCAAATCTCAAGCTTTCATTCTAAGCTTCTCTTCTCTGACTCCTAAGTGACTTCTCAAATTCCAGGTAGGCTGTAAATTCTTGTTTTCAGCCTATGTTTCCCTTTTTTCTCTCACCCAGAATATTCTAGCCCCTTCTGTATCCAGTACTCCTATTCTCCTCTTATCCTATTACAAGTTAAACAGAGTGGACCATAGATAGGGAAGGACAGGGCTGAGTCAAGACTCATTTCTCTCCTGAAAATATCCAATTGGAAAGAATGGGGTCAATCCAGAAGAGAGTATATATAGGAGCTTCTCAATATTGCAGACAAAATGTTGTCCATTTGTCATATTCCCTAACTGGCTGCCTTACCGCATCATAGAATGTCTGCAAAAATTTGATATAGTCCATCAGCAGTGAGACCTGGGCCCCAAGACTCTCACGGATTAGGTACTGGGAATCAACATCCTAATGGCAAAAGAGAATAACATTAACAAAGTTCCTGGAAGCCAACATCCCATTAGGAGATATTCCTAATACCCAAGAAATACCCAAGTCACTCTACTCACCTTCTTGAGGACGACGTACTCATTCTCTGCTTCTGTTCTCTTGTGGATTTCATCTTCATATCTGTGACATAGTGCAACCTGAAGTCAGCATTATGTCTCATTCCCTTTTAGGCCCCACTTTTTTGAGAGCCAAAGCACTGCAGGACCCCTCCTTGACCACTCAATCTTCTCTATGACCTACTCACCCAAAAGGAGAAGCAATGTACTGCTGAGTTGTGAATGAAATGGAAGTATGATATTTATTCATATGTTCCCTCTTTTGGGGATCAGATACTTTAGCATACAAGTTAGGTAAGAGGGGGACTGTATTAGAATAATAATGCTCAGACAACGTGAACCCTGGCTCAGCAGAACCCTGCTATGTGAATACTCCAAGCACTAGTCCTGATACAACAGAGCTTCAGATGGTTTTGTAAAAAAGTAGAGACAGAGCTGGGAACAAGTAGTTTGGCAACTGCATTCACTTTGACCAAAGAGAATTGAATTCCAAAACAATTTGCACTTCTTTGCACAAAACAGTTCTCAGCCACCTTTGGAGGCTTAGAAGAATAGGCGATAATAACCCAACTTGCTAACAGCTCGCCCTCCAGACTATTGGAAGAATAATTTTTAGATTATTAGAAAAGAAATAAATCCTCAAAACAGAGTCTGTGGCTTTTGTGAGAGAGCTGTCTCCCTAAAGGAGAATTCCTTGACAGAATTCCAGAAATATTTGTGGAGGCACATAGAAACAAGTCAATTTAAGTCAGGCATCAAGCATTTCTTAGGACCCTAAAATGCGGCAGGAATGGTGCTAAGTACCAGAAATATGAAAGAAAAGGCAGGAGAAGGAGGAAGAAATGCTGGCTGGATAGAAAGGACTCCTTGTGTGAAGGACAAAATTAAGCATTTTCAAAACTGTGAATAAATGAAGACATAAAGAGGAGAAATATATAAATAGAGTTGTTATCCAGAGGTTAATGGGGCCTGTGTCTGAGGGCCAAGGGGAGGGAGGAAAGAGTTCTAATTATGCTTCTTCAGGGCCAAAAGGGACTGTAGTGCCCTGATCCCCTAGATATTCTGTCCCTCACCTAGCTTTCTGAAGATGCTGCACCCCCAGCCCTACCCTGCCACCTTCACATTGGCCCCACCACCATCCTCCTCTTCCTCACTTGTCTTTGAAGTTGTCCATCTGTTGCTGCACATTACACAGCTCAGTTTCCAGCTTTTCCTTCTCATTCTTGAGGCTATCCAGGTGCCTCCCAAGCTTGTTTATATGTGAGTCAAGTAATGGCTCCAGATCCTCAGGAAACTTGGTGTTCTGGCCCTGCTCCTGAAGCAGGGCCCACTTGGTCTCCAACACCTTGTTCTGCTGCTCCAGGAATCGTACCTGTGGTCATGGAATCATAGTACAGTTATCCCTTCCCCATGGCAGGGGTTAGGGGCACGGCACCACCACCACCACCGCCACCACCATCCCCACCCCCAGCCCTGCCACAATCTGGAAAATCCACGTACAGTTTTTTGGCCCTCTCTTTGTACCAGAGAAGAAATCTGAATTATTATGGTATTAAAATATAAAATATGTTGATATTATACAATACTATACGTATATTTTTATGTATTTCTGAGTTTCTAAACTTTTTTGTGTCATCTGCTGGCCTTCATGCATCATCTGTAGCTTCTGCAAAACTCTCAAAAAATTCCCATTTAATTTCTCATGCTGACCCACGACATATCAAAACCACAATGTGGGAAGTCGCAATGCAGAAGAGCTAACTGTATTGAGATGTAGAGGATCAACTATAGTCCAACCCCTCCATTTTCCAGAGGGTAAAACAAAGGTCCAGGAAATGCAGTGATTTATCCAAGGTCACACAGCTGGGATATAGGAGAGCCAGGATTCAAACCTAGTTTCTCTGGCTCCAGCTCCAATGCTGTTTCCATTTGTGACATGTTACAGGAGAAGAAAGAAAGGACCTGAGCAATCCATGCCTGGCAGTGGAAAGGGACCCAAGCTTCCCACCATTCCCCTGCCCCAGCCTCACTCACATGATCTGTCTATAACCTGGTCTATCAATAACAACACCAATTCACATTTACATGGCACTTCAAATTTACCCATCTGAGGCAGGTAGTATGGATATCATTATCAACAATTTAGACATGAGGACACTGAGGCTCATGAATATTAAGTGACCTGCCTAGGATCACACGACCAATCAGCTGGACTCAGACCTACATTCACATCAAATATTCTCCCCTATCATGATTTAACAGGAACAGTTTCCACTCTGGATACTGGAGCGGAGTAGGATTTTTCTCTGATGGGAGATCTTAAGGCACTTTCCTGGAAATTATTCTGGAAGGGATTGTCAGTTGAGAGTTGGACACTTCTACCCTTTGTGAGTCATTCAAGGGGTGCCCAGTTCTGCCCAAAGGGAATGTAAACAGTTAGAGAATTTCTTGTATAAGCTTCCTCTGAAGGAATCTCACTAGAGTCAAGAGTCACTCAAGGAAAGGGTAAGGAGGGCAGGGGATGATATGCCTCATGATTTCACCTTTCTTCTGTTCCCCTTCCACCTGCACAGGATCATAAAATCACTCATGGCAATAGGCAAAGCAAGCCAAGGCATTGGGCCATTGACCATGGAACATCAGTGACATATATGCAGTTCAGCCTCAGCATGAGGCAAGGGAGAGGGCAGAGAGAGAAAAATGCCAGCTGACCATAGGAATAACCAAAAGTCCCCAGTGACCCCAGATTCTGTATCATGCTCCAGATAGAAGCACATATTACAGCCACAGTTGGGAAATTTGGATTCACTGAATAGCTAGTCACTTGGCTTCTCTAGAACTTACTTTCCCCATCAATAAAATGGTCCCTGCCCTATCTGCCCCCCCACCCCCAGAATCAGATAAGATAATAGATATGAAAATACCAAAGTACCATATAAATAATGACTGCTGGCCTTCAGACTTACAAAGCCCTTTCCTTATGGCAGCTCTGGAAGGTAGTGAGTAGAAATAGCATTTCTCCCATTTTACTGTTTGTGGAAACTGAGGCACAAAGTGGTGAAGCAGCTTGCCTAAGTAGTAAATGTTTGGGGTTCAAACCCATTTTTCCTGATTCCAAGCCTAGACCTCTTTCCATTAGACAATACTGCCTTCCAAGTGGAAGTAAGGATTTTTAAGGTACCATCAATATCATCTCAGATGAAGCATGTGACCCAGCCAGCACCTGACAGAGATGTTACTGGGTGATGGGAGAGGGCTGCAGCGCCAAGGCTTGGAAGGCAGAAATAGGATGGTGTATAAGAGCACTGAGTAATTCCATCCCCTTCCCTTTTTCAGTGTTTATATCAGGAGGCCAAATGGGATGGGAGAGGGGAAAAAATGAGAGAAGCTAGAAGGGAGGCAACCCTTTCTCTTGTCTTCTACCTGGTGCTCTCATGATTGTTCTCACTATCCCTTGGAAACCCTTCTGAAAAGCAAGAGAATAGCTCCCAGCCCCAGGGTTCCTAAATCCTCAACCTTTGTTGGAATCTAAAACTTCCCTGGGTCTAAGTGTTCCCATCTGCAGAATGGGAAGAGTTGGTAGGGCCATTAGCCTACCAAGATTGAACCTTCTTGAGTTGGATTCAGATCTCAGCCCTGCCACTGATTAGCTGTATAGCCATGGGTTAGTCACATTACCTCTCTGTGCCTCAGTTTCCTCATTTGCAAAATGTGGGGGTTGGACCAGGTGATCTCTAAACTTATTTCCAGTGCTAAGTCCTTTGAAATGTGGTTGTGGTAGTAGAGTGATGTCATAGGTGTAACAATAGGAATAATGAGAGCAGACAGTGTTGGACTTGGGTTTGAGAGATCTCTGCTCCAACTCAGGTTCTGTCACTTACTGGATGCATAGTCTTGGGCAAGCCACAGCTATGGCTGTGAGCCTCAGCTTCCTCATCTGTAAAATGTGGATAATAATGCTTTCCCCATCTGCCCCACACAGTTGTTGTGAGGTAAGCGTTTCATGAACATTAAAAGAGCCATGTGGGAATTATCATTCTGTAGATCAACGGAACATGATTAACCAAAGAGGGAAGCCATATGACTATAATTAAGTTTATACAAGATTTATGTTATCAAAAGAATAATAGAATAACAGCATCTCCACGTGCAAATCCTCATGACTTAGAATCCCTGTCTCAGACGAGAAATGATTGCTTCAATTCCTCTGCCCCAGACCGTGCAAAGCTTCCTATCCTCTGGAGATCTCACCTGCTTTCTTGGTCCCCCTACTACCACCCACCAATCTGAAGTCTCTAAGATTAGACAATCCTTCTCACTGCAATGCCTACCAAAGTCTTCTGCTTCTAATTCTATAACCATGCTAAAGCATTTGGGGGTGGCCAGGATCGAGCTTAAAGGTCCCTTCCTCCTCAGTCCCACTCACTAACTTCCATTTCTTTACATTGTTTGTGCCAAGTTAGTATTTCCAGGACTCTGTCAAGAGTAGGTAAAGAGGAAAACAGGATAACATTCCATGCCTGGAATGCTTTGCCCTCTCACCCTGGCTTCCTTAGCTTCCTTCAGGACTCAGCTCACTCCACCCCTGGTTTCCACTCCTGTTCCAGTACATTCCCCTTGAAATTATCTCTCCTTCACACTATATAATATATGTATGTATACATATATATGAAGAGAGAGAAATATATATACAATCACATATACACTGTATATTATATACATATATTCTATGTATTATACATATATCTATATATACACACATAAATGTGATAGATAGATAGATAGATAGATAGATAGATAGATAGATAGATATAGATAGATAGATAGATGGATGGATGGATGGATGGATGGATGGATGGATGGATAGATAGATAGATAGATAGATAGATAGATAGATAGATAGATAGATAGACAGATAGATAATTAGGTATACATAGTTGTTTGTATGTTATGTCCCCCATTATAATGTGATTGAAAGCCAGCACCCTGTTTTTTATCTTTCTTTGTATCTCTAAGAGCTTAACACAGAGCTAGACACACACTAAGCACTTAATAAATGCTTTTTAACTGACAGTTGAACAGACCCAAAGACAATGTTGTTAGACACTAAGACTTTCCATGGTCAAAATGGGTCCTTGGAGCATTACCTTTCTTTTTTTTTAAATTTTCATTTCTGAATTCTGTCCAGCCTTTCTCCTCATTCATTGAGAAGGTAAGAAATATGATATCCGTTATAGACAGGAACATTGCCTCTCAACAATAAAAATTTCATTGATTCTTCATGTTGGAAGGCACCTCAGAGGCCTCCCGGTCCAAGCTAGACCTGACCAGCAATCTCCCCTACCATCTGCACCACCCCCCAGCTAGTGATCATTCCACCTTTCCTTGAAGACTTTCAGGGAAGTCACTACCTCCTGAGGCAATCCCATTCAACTTTTGGACACTCCTAATTGTTGGGTAGATTTCCCAGGCTGAAATCTGCCTCTCTCCAACTCCCACCCTTAGTTCTGAGGTCTGCCTTCTGAAGCCAGGCAGCACAAGTCCAATTAATGCCTCTTCCCAAATGTCATCTCTTCAGAAGCTTGAAGACAGCTGAGGGCTGCTCTATGACCATCTCCATGGCACTCAGAGCATTTCCTCCCAACAACCATAGGGAGTAAATAGTGTAAACATCATCACATCCCCATTTTACAGATGAGAAAACTGAGAAATAAAGCGACTTGCACATCCAGGATTTGAATCCAGGTCTCCTGAATCCAAGTCCAGTATTCCTTTCACAACTCCACAAAAGGGGTCACAACAGTGCTGGCCAGTAAAAGTTAAATGAGACTGAGAGGTGGGCCTGGGCTAAGGTAGGAGCCAGTCCCATTTCACGTCTAAGGTCTATCTCCCAATAGGCTTAGACAAAATTCCACACATGATTCTCAACCCCCTTCACCCTTTCACCCTCCCACCCTCCCCAGCTCACCTTATCAATGAAGGAGGCAAACTTATTATTGAGGGTCTTGATCTGCTCCCGCTCTTGAGTCCTCACTCTCTGAATCTCAGGGTCAATCTCCACATTAAGGGGGGTTAGTAGGCTTTGGTTGACAGTCACCTCCTGGATGCCTCCAGGGGGGCAGGAGGGCCCAAAGTTTGACCTCGTGGTGCCCAGACCTAAAAAGCTACCAGCCCCAACACCAAATCCCCCTTGGGAGGCCTTCTGAGCCATACTGCCAGAGATGCTCCTGTTAGCACCCAAATTGTAGAGGCTATGGCTGCCAAAGCTGGTCTTGGGGCTGCCACCAGCAGCACCCCCAAGCCTGCTTCCACCTCTGGACACTGTCTTGTAGCTGAAGCTGGTGTGAGTGTGAGTGCCACCCGCACCGCGGCTTCCAGAGGCCGAGGAAGAGCTGAAGCCCCCTTGGGTAGTATAGGTCTGGTGAGACACAGAGCCCTTCATGAATGCTGGGGAGGAAGACAAGTATGGTTAGAGTCAGGATAAGAGGGCAGTGAAGATCCCAGGAGTGCAAAGAGATGGTCCTTTTATCTGCTCCAAGAAAGGTGGCTCACAGGCTCCCACAGACACTCCTGCCCCGTTGCCCAAGGAGGAGAGAGAGGGAGGAGCAGCTGTGGGTCTGGGTATCCACCCCCGCCCCCCACACCTCCCTCAGTGTTATCTCCTTTTCTGAGGAAAAGCCAAGACTAATCACTGTCTGGGGTGGGGAGGACACTTTTTCCCCCACCTCCACCTCCACCCCTACCTCCAACACATTTCCTAACTTGGAATATGACACCAGGTTCCTACTACTATCTCCCTCCCCTTCCCCCAACACCTTGGTGACAGACTTGAATTCCTGTGCCCCAGCCCAGCCTGCTGTCAATGAAGCCCTTTCTGTTCTGTGGGGTTTGTTCCTCAGCCCTGTTGTAAGAGGAGTCCCAGAGCCCTAGGGCAGTGCAGGTGGTAAGTTAGGTTGGGTAATGGAGCTGAAGAAGATTGGATGCCCAAGCCTGTTTCAGTGCCACCCTCCCAGGCAGCCCATGAAGTCTCTCTTCTCTCCAGTCAGATCCAGGCTCTATGGGGACCATGACTGACACCTTCAAGTATTTGTATGTAAGCTCCTCGAGGACAGGAAACGTTTAGTCTTTGCTTTGTATCTCCAGCACCTACAAGGTCCCTAGCATTATGGCAGATCTTGAAAAAAAAATGCCTGTGGGTTGATTGATTCATTGTCTTTCAGAAGGATTACATTTGTTCTCAGCCCCAGACAGCAGAACCAGGTGAAACAAACAAGTGCCTAGCTTAGAACTGTCCTATTGTCCTATTACGTAACAGGTTATCGTAAAATGGTTATCGAATTGAACTGCACTAAATGAATTGAGTCAAAGTTGCAATGGGACAAATTTCAGCTTGTCATAAGAAATAACTTCTTTTTTAAATGTTTTGAATTTTGAACTTAGCCACAGAGAGAGAGAGAGAGAGAGAGAGAGAGAGAGAGAGAGAGAGAGAGAATTTCCACATACCCAGCAAAACACAAATAGAGGATTGCATACGAAAATATGAGTATCAATTTTATAACCACTTGCTTTTTTCAAAAGTATATAATAAATTTCATGTTACTTTCAAAACTGTTCTGTTTATCTATGCTTCCTTCTCTCCTGTAGATTTTTTAAAATAGTTCAATGGCTCTCTCTTTCTCTTTCTCTCTCTCTCTCTCTCTCTCTCTCTCTACACACACACACACACACACACACACACACACACACACACACACACATCATTATTGCTAGTCCTCCTCTTCCAACCCCTACTCCCAATTAAATGGCTGCCTTTGAACATAGTGAGTTCCCCAACACAGGAAGTCTTCACGTGAAGACTATTTATTGAGACGTTGTTGAAGAAATTCCTGTTAAGAGGTACACTGGACCGGATGATCATGAGGGTCACTCCCAGTCCTGAGATTCTGTTTTTCAGAGCACTAGAGGGTAATAATAATAATAATAATAATTTGTTGTTCAGTTCTTTCAGGCATGTCTGATTCTTCATGACCCCAGTTGGAGTTTTCTTGGCAAAGATACTGGAATGGTTTGCCATTTCCTTCTGCAGTTTGTTTTACAGATGAAGAAACTGAGGCAAATAGGGTTAAGCGACTTGCCCAGAGTCACACAGCTAGTATATATCTGAGGTCAGACTGGAACTCAGGAAGATGAGTCTTCTTGACTCAGCCCTCTATCCACTGTACCACCTAGCTACCTATTTATAATAGTAATAGCTAGCATTTATATAGCACTTTAGGATTTGTAAAGCTCTTTACAAATAGTGTCTCATTTTATTCTCACACCAACCCTGGAAGGTTATTCCCATTTTACAGAAGAGGAAATTAAGGCAGAAAGAGATTAAGTGGTTGGTCCAGGGTCGAACACTTTCCTCTTAGGAAGCTCTCTAAGGTGAGACTTGAACTCAGGTCTTCCTCATTCCAGGTCCAGTGCTCTATCCATTGCATCATAATACAGGGAATATCAGTCAGCCTGTCCTTCCACACGTCCTGGATGCTGGGGGTAGGGCAGGGCATGACAGCTAGGAGATGGTACAGATGGAGGAGAAAACATTGGCCCTGTTTTCAGAAAACTCCCAGTCTGGAGAGAGAAACAAAACATGTACACGTATGTCAGAGACAGACAAAGAAAGGCAGAACCTAGAAACATTTAAGCAGAGTTCAGAGAATAGTTTCATCCAGGAAAACATCTTAGAAGGAGGAGTCTAGAGTAAAGTCTGGAAGAAGAAGCATTTGGCTTTGAAGGAGAAGAGGAAGAGGAAAGAATCTCAGGAAAGAGAGATGTTCAGTAAAGCTTGAGGACTAGAAAGGGCAGGCATATGTATGAAGATTCCTCACTCCATCCAGAGGAGTGATGGGAGACGAGGCATTGAGCCACATGAATATTAACATCATGAATAGAAGATCCAGGAAATCCCAATGTTCAACACTGTAGGGGTCAGGTACAGCACCTAAACAGATCTGGGTTGGACCAATACCATAAGATACAAAAGACTGAAAGAAAATTGTGGCTTTCCTCCCCCTTTTTCCTAACAAATCCAGACCCTTGACAAGGTCCTTTTCGGGTCATTTCACCCATCCCTCTATTTCTAGGAGACGGGAATTAAACCCTGCCTTAGACTTAGTGACTGTCAGAGTAAATAGAGACCTTAGGGGACATTGTGTCCAACTCCTAGTTTGCAGATAAAGAAACTAAGGCCCAGAGATTTGCCCAGAATCCCACAGTGGGGTCATGGAAGCCCCAGGCTCTTGACTCCTAATCCAATGCTCTTCTTACCACATCCCTGAGCTGCTCTCTCCAGGAAAAGAGATTCCAACTACCCTGTACTTTATCTTCCCAAATAAAGAAGAACAGGTGTCAAGGAAAGAAGAGATGGAGCTGTCCCTTATCTGGTTATCAAACATAAAAAGGGAGGGAGTGGACTAGATGATCTCCAAGACGTCTCCTAGCAAGTTTGGTGTACAAGGTGTACAAGGCCCTTCATGATCTGACTCCCTCCTAGCCTTTCTAGCCTTTTTATATCTCATTTGACACCACCTCCCCTATGTACTCTGTGATCCCAGTGACACCGGCCTCCTTGTTAACACTCCATCTCCAGGTTCCAGGCATTTTCACTAGCTGTCCCTCACACCTGAAATGCCCTTCCTCCTCACCTCTGCATCCTGGCTTCCCTGCTAAAAATCCCAACTTCTACAAGATTTCCCTCATATCCCTTAATTCCAGTGCCTTCTCTCCATTAATTATCTCCAATTTATGTTGTATTCATGTTGTTTGTGCATAATCATTTTCATGTTGTCTCCCTCACCCCCATTAGACTGTTAACTCATTAAGAGTAGGGATTATCTTTTGCTTTTCTTTGTATCCCCAGAAGGTCTGGGTGGAGCAGTAGATAGATCTCTAGCCCTGGAATCAGGAGGACCTGCATTCAAATCTGACTTCAGACACTTGCTGGGACCCTGGGAAAGCCCCTCATTGCCTCCAAAAATAATAATAAAAATTGGTTCATTGTGCCAGGGCTTGTCACAGTGCCTGGTACATAGCAGGTGCTTAACTTCAAATTAAAAATGTGTAACTTAACATTAAAAAAATGACCAAGTGGAGGGGAAAATTATCTTCTCTCAAAGATCATAAAACTTGCTAGGAGACGTCTCGGAGATCATCTAGTCCACTCCCTCCCTTTACAAAAGAGGAGATCAAAAATCAGAAAAAGAGATTAAGTGTGTGAGACAAAGCAAAGTATTAGCAAAGGAGTCTATGGAATCTTCTTCCCCAGAGGACAGTGTGGAGTACCCACGGCTTAAGCTGCAGGAATTGTGATGACAGGAGATAAAAAGCCCACCATCCACTCAGCTGTCAAAATAATCTTCCCTAGGCACTGCCCAAACAGGTGACTCTCCTGTTCAAAAATTATCAGTGACTTCCCAATTGCCTCCAGGATAAAAGACCAGCTCCTGAGCCTGGGTATTTCAGGCCCTCCCCAATTTGACTCCAACCTACCTTTCCAACTTTGTTTTTATACTGATCTAATGTTTCACAAACTCTACGTTTTAATCAAATTGGATTACTGGTTGTTCCCAGAACTTGGCATTCCATCACCTACCTTTATGTGTTCAAACAAGTGAGCCCTATACCTAAAATGCCCTTCTTCCACCATTCAGAATCTTTATTTTCCTTTGAAGATCAACTCCTTAGCCACATTCTCTATGAAGCCTCTCTCTCTCTCTCTCTCTCTCTCCTCTCTCTCTCTCTCTCTCTCTCTCTCTCTCTCTCTCTCTCTCTCTCTCCTTCTCTCTCTCTCTCTCTCCTCTCTCTCATTCTCTCCTCCTTCCTCTCATTCTTTCTCCTCTCTCCTATTCTCTCTCTCTCCTCTCTCTCATCCTCTCTCTCCCTCTCTCTTCCCTCTCTCTCCTCTCTCCTATTCTCTCTCTCATTCTCTCTCTCCTCTCTCCTCTCTCATTCTCTCTCTCCTCTCTCCTCTCTCTCTCTCTCCCTCTCTTTCTCTCTCCCCTCTCTCCTCCCTCCTCTCTCTCATTCTCTCTTCTCCCTCCTCTCATTCTCTCTCTCTCCTCTCTCTCATTCTCTCTCCTCTCTCTTTCTCTTTCTCTCTCTCTCCTTTTCTCTGTCATTCTCTCTCTCCTCTCTCCTCTCTCCTCTCTCTCCTCTCTCTCCTCTCTCTCATTCTCTCTCCTCCTTCCTCTCATTCTCTCTCCTCTCTCCTATTCTCTCTCTCTCCTCTCTCTCATTCTCTCTCTCTTTCTCTTTCTCCTCTCTCTCATCCTCTCTCTCCCTCTCTCTCTCATCTCTCCTATTCTCTCTCTCTCATTCTCTGTCCTCTCTCTCTCATTCTCTCTCTCCTCTCTCCTCTCTCTCTCTCCTCCCTCCTGTCTCTCATTCTCTCTTCTCCCTCCTCTCATTCTCTCTCTTTCTCTCTCTCTTTCTCTCTCTCTCTCTCTCTCTCTCTCTCTCTCTCTCTCTCTCTCTCTCTCTCTCTCTCTCCTTCTCTCTCTCATTCTCTCCCCTCTCTCTCCTCTGTCCTCTCTCTCGTTCTCTCTCCTCCTTTCTCTCATTCTCTCTCCTC